TACTGAGTGGTTAGGTCTGTAGAGGCTTTGGAAAATGGCTTGTTTCGTCTAAAAGAGGCCAAAAATGTCCAAAATAGCACAAAATGACCATTTTCTGGAGGCTCTACAAGCATAACCACTCAGTATTTTTCACTAATTCTTTGATAGGCTCATTCAGGTTGACCAGAGGTATGTTCTGGCTACCTCTCCAGTTAGCGCATTTTTTTTTTCAGATGCCAAAAATGGTTTCCAGAATAAAAACCTTCTTAAGCCTCCAGCTTTCACTGAAATTAGTCCATACCAAGGGAAGTGTAACACAACTACATAATGTAAAATAATACACAAATACATTTGAGGTACAATAGATTCTTAGAAAGAACCAGAAAAATGAACCAACCTTCATTCTTTTTGCACTCAACTGTACATGGATACAAGGATATGTACATGTATACAATATATACTCAATACTTTCTCTAGTATGATGCTAACTTCATATCATAAAAATATTTCGATACTCTCTCATTGTTCATACTGGTGGTGCACAATCCTCGGTATGTGTGACGACCAGTGACATGCTGTGACAGAGTGTCACAGGCCCAATTTCTTGAGACATTGACCTTGTACTCTCTACAACACCAATTCAATATATTTTTTGCAATGGGTTTGACTGAATTAAGTGAATGAATCCATTCAGTGAGTTTTCCATGTAGCAATTGCATTTATTACTCCAAAAATGCGAAATCAGTCTGTTTTCCCTGCCAAATCAGGCAGTCTGAAGAGATTGGAATATAACTTTTCAACAACAGCACATATGAACATGATTTGCAGACGGATTTTACTTAGAATTTAAATTCCAATCGATCTACGGGTCCAAAGGTTTTATTTGTGGCCCCTGTGCCGAGATAACCCTGAGAATCGGTACTTTAACATGGTTAAAGGCTAGTAATTAAATTTCTGAACCCGTAGGATTGGGGCCACATAGTAATCGATGATTTCGTCTCTGCAAACCTAAGCCCAAATCCTATCCATTGTGAAGCTCTATAGCTCGAGAGGCAACCTTGGGCCAATAGGCGCTGCATAGCCACCAAAGTGAAATATACTGCATATTATTATACATTTGAATAGAGAATATCTATACAATTCTGGTGCACTTTTTCTCTTGTAAATCGGTGGAGAAATGACTGAGCTACATCATTTACAAGTTTGGGCCATCTAAAACTGGTGGCCAAAATGGGCACCTTCCCAATTTGGCAGACTGGTGATGCTTTCCCAGATAGCTCACACTTTAAACAATGTAGCTCA